CCTCACTCGGCTCTATGCAGGGCTCCTGCATCTCCAGGGCTCAGGCTGCAGCTCTGCTCTTATGCTCTTCTCCCCACAGGAGAGCAGTGGGAGGAGGCGGCGCTGGATGAGTTTGATCACCTCACCTACTGTGCTCAGTGGAAGCCATTGGTGGCCAGGATCTCCAGCTACGTCCAGTCCGGCATGGGCACGTGGCCACGCGTCACACTGTACGACACCAGCCGTGGGCAGGTGAGCGTGGAGGCTTGGCTGCCTGGCAGGCAGCCTTGCTCTTGCACAGCAAGGGCCTGACTATTTGTGGGGGACCCCACTGCATCCTGTGAACCCCTTTCCCCAGCCTGTTGTCACCAACCTGCAGTGCTCCAGCCCCTCTGGTCTCTCTACAGAATCTAGACATTGGGGAGGAGTTGGTCCGGCTGGGCTATGCTCTGCGGTGCCCACAGGAGGACGAGGGTGCAGCAGGGGACAAGCCCCTCCACATGGCCAAGGACACCACATCTGAGGCTCTACAGAGGATGCTGGTGAGGAGCTGACTAGTGTGGTACTGAGACCCAGCCTGTGGGGTTAGATCAACTGTTTGCTAGGCAGGTTTATTTTTGGCTGAAATTCCCCTGCCTGGCCAGCCCCAGGTCTCCAAGCCCCTGTGCCACTCTGCTCTCCAGCAGGGTGCTGCATGTACCTGCCAGGCTTTCCTAGGGCAGGGGCCTTTTGGCAGGGCCTCTGCCCACTGTGCCACTAAAGCTCCTGTTTGTGAGCAAGGATCTAGCAAGTCCCTGTCCTTGAGGAAGCTGTGTGGGCTAAGCTGACATGGAGGCTTTGGGTGTGTTAGAAAGGAGGGGGCCTGCTCTGAGCCTCTCCATTGTCTGTTGGCTAGTAGGACCAGGGCTTCTCTGGGTTGGGAGCTGGTGTGAGAGGGCCTCCAGGCCCCAAGGTCAAAGGCCCATGCTCTAATTGATCTACTCAGGTTTCTGTCCCCAGGGCCCCAGAAAGCACTGGCGCTCTGTGCACTGAAGAAGCAGCAGGGCAGGAGAGTCTCCATGCTGTCTCTCCAGCCTGGGTACATCCCTTTACTGGCAGCCTGGGGCCTGCCCTAGCCCCTGTGCTCAAGCTTGGCCTAATCCTGCCGCTTCTTGTCAGGAGAACACTACGGCAGCCTCCCTTGAGAGCCTCATCTCAGAGACCCAGAAGAGCCCAGCTGAGACCCCCCTGACCCTGTCCTACATCAGCCTCTCGGGTGAGCACTGTTCCCTTCCCCAGGGAGATCTCCCTTGCCTTTTGTCTGTCACCCCTGCATCCAGGAGCCAGTTGTACAGTCACTGCCGTGCTTTGGCATCTTGCCTGCCTCTCTCCCTTTTTTTTACATTCCCTTCTATGTCGATGGTTCCCTCCCCTGCATATAGGACCTTCCCATGTCCCAGACAGATGGGAGCCAAAGGCAGAATTTCTCTTT